TTCCAGAAATCCTCTTAGAAAATTGCGGTATGGAAACACAAACAAGCCTCAAAAAACGTTGAAGTACATTGAATTCTTCATGCTGAACAAGAATATAAAGTCATAGAAGTTCCGTTTTTTTTCATGGAGCAAGGTTTTCTGCAAAACAGAGGGTGAAAAATGGAAAGTGCCGAGGGTAGTTGTATGGGCAAAGTTATAGATCTACTAAGTAGTTCCTATTCTGAAAAAATCTCGAAAATTTTTCGGAGCGTTTAGGAGAAAATCGGGGTCAAACTTCAGGAATTTTTGAAGTAGATTGAGTACCACTCGAATGTAAAGTTAGATCGAGACTGAATTCCTTTACCATCAGAGTCAACTCATCAAGAGCTACAATTTGATGGATAATTATGCAATGTTTCGTTCATTTTCACCGACTTCGGTTTCACCCTCACCAAAAACTTGGTGTCTGGAAAACCACTTTCCACATGTTTTTTCAAAGAAGCATTAGCGAGACCTTTAGATTATTTTTGATGCGCTACACGATGGGGCAAGTGAAATTTTCGCGGCAGGAAACTCTGTATAAAGTGGGCGGACCTGTTTGGAAGCACCCTTCATCTTGGTCTTTGATAAATGACAGCAACTAAATGAAGTAAAAGGTAAAACCTTTTAGCGTAAATATGACCTACAGGTGTTTACATCTAATGAATCCACAAGTGACTCGTTTTAACATACAGCTGTTTTTTAAGCTATTTCTGAGGGTTGAGAGCTGCGACTGGTATGTACTGTTTTAAAGCAGAACCAAATCGTAAATTGTTAATAATCCGAATTGAACTGAAAAAAAACGCACAAATGTTCATCAATTGTGTTTTCGAAGGATTCTCCAGTTTAGTTGTTACTTCCGTCAGCAGTTTTTCATCTATTTTCGATTAAGAAATTTCTCTTTTTTTTTACGAGTAATTAAGCGCACACATTTTTTATGACGTAGCTGTTTGTATCCTTGACAAGCATTTTTGAAAAACGTATGGTTTTCCGTACCTTCACTGGTAATGCAGTTTATATCAACTAAGCACAAGGGAAATACTTGAAATACTTGGATAGCTACATACGTCTGCAACTAGCTTCTTGAAAGAGCAAAATTTTCTTGTTTTTTAATTGAAGTTTTGAGTCCCTGGTATAAATAGAATCCGAATAAATGTCACTAATAACAAGGACAGAGAAAAGTCTTAAATGCGGTTTAGGTTATTTTTGATGCTCTACACGATGGGGCAAGTGAAATTTTCGCGGTTGATAGTGAACGTAATAGTGGGCGGACCTGCACGGAAGGACCCTGAAGCGAATTTTACTAACTAGACTCGACCTAAGGCACATGGGCTGAGATGAATACAATGTGCTTATTTCATGCACTTTTGCGTTTCTGAGCAACTCAAATTCATTGGATGAAACGTTTAAATTAGAACCCAAATAAAATGAATTTCCTGTTTTCAGTTTTTTCGGACAAGCTACGATTACCGAAATATTCATCATTCTACACTGTAGAGAGCGCTGTTTTTGTGAATATCTCGGTAATCGTAGCTTATCTGGAAAAACTGAAAAAAGAAAATTCATTTTATTTTGGTTCAAACTCAAACGTTTCATCCAACGAATTTAAATTGCTCAAAAACGCAAAAGTGAATAAAATAAGCACATTTTTTTCATCTTAGTCCACGTGCCATCATGCGGATCTCCGGTTGCTTCCACTGAGCATGAATTAATTTTTACAAAACAAAGCCTACTCACACGTACAAAAACTTGGGGAAGCATTATAAAAGGAGTAACGGAAGGGGTTGTCTGCTTCTAGCCACAAATAAGCTACACAAATAGGGGCTTTACATATCTACAAAGATATGCACTGCTATTTTCTGTTTGGTTCATGCAGAACAGACGAAAGAAGAAATTAAGAGATATCGCTAGTTTACAGCATACATTTTCAGCATTTGAATGACATAGAACGCGTCTCTCCTGTTTTAGAACTTGTTTGTCATCTACACTCAGCATATCTTACAGTTATTTTAGAGTCACTGATTTATGAAAAATTAAAGTCTTTTGAGTCCTTTCCTCATATACATATGAATAATTACTTAAAAAGAGGAGAGATCAACTTAATTTTTATAAAATTTAGAATTATAAGTTCACTTTTCAGCCCACTCTTGACAGAAAAATTTCATTATTTTGTTTTTTCATTAATAAAATTAAAAAACAGTCTGCAAATGAAAACGGCTTCATATCAATTTCTAAATTTTTCACTATTTAAACTATATTCCTTGGCTAGAGCAGGCGGACATGTGTTATTACTTCAATAATAACTTTTGATAGAAAAGAGCTAGAGAGCTCCGGTTTTCGTCCTAGAATAGTCAATCCATTTTTCATTTCCCAATAATTTCTGAAATTCGATAGTTAATTCTTTATACTTAGAAACATGAATCGATTGCGTTGAAGAAACAGCTTTCAAGATAATAGAATAAAGTTGAATTAATTTTTGAAGTGTTTTATGATGTCGCGGTGGAACACACACAAGACAATAAGACATGTCAAACTGCATACGAAAAAAATTTTCGTCTTTCTCCACCTGTCGTGCTTGTACCACCAGTTGTACATGAATTTGAATCACATTGATTCAAAGGTAAACCAGTTTTAGTCTGAATAGTTTCTATGATTGTGGTTTTTTCTTTTTGAACACGTTCTTGTTTAACTTTTCCACGAACTATCCACGATAATATATCGGCACGCATATGAGACATGATCTTTAAAAACCAGGACGTGCCATTAATATATTTATGAGTGATAGTGATAAAATGTTGGTCGCTTGTTGATACAGGCTCAGATGTTAAACCTGATCGAGTTCCATAATCATTTTTACGTTTTAAGATATTGCCATCATTATCTTTTAATTGATAATATAATTCAAGGGCCTTTTTTTGCTGTTCGATTAATATCGAATAAATCAGGATCTGAAATTTTTTTTGTATCTTTCCAATCTTCTTGTTTTGTGCTGCACATTAAACATTCAGCAACTCCTAAACCTGATTCATCCACTTTCATGTCCTTCATGCTTGCTTCTATTTCAATTTTGACATTATATGTTTCGTTTTTATATTGAAATGTTAATCCAATTTCTTTTAAACTTTTTTCTCGATACTCGAATTGCTCATTTACAAAATGAAGTAATTCATGATTTTCTTTTTCAGCAATTAACAGTAATGGTCTAGTATAAAAAGCACTGTTCGGGGATCGATTGTGCTATAAAACTGTGCCTAATTTTTTATCTTTTAATGCTAATGGTACAAACATTTTACAAAAAATATTTGGATCACACATTGGGTTTTTATTTGACCTGTAAATAGACATTGAACCAGCACCATCGTGTCCAGTTTTCTCACGATACAACAAATTATGTGGCACATCGATATTTTCTGAATGTAAAGCATCAATTAATCGTTGAATTGTCAGCTGTATTGGTTCTTTACGATCCTCTACACAAATACCTTTATCATTGCGACAACTTTTGAGAGATGGAATTAAATTATCAGTA